CTGCCCTTTACTACGAGATCAGCGTTCTTTTATAACAAAACTCCTTTTATTAGATCTACAACTACTCTTTTTTTATTTGACAATTTATTAAACTTCATAATTAAATAGTGGGGTAACAAAAGTCTGGTCTTTCGACCAGGGGAGTTGATAGTGCTTGGCGTTAGAAGTCTATTCACTTAAATGTTTTATTTCACCTTATCCTTATACTTGTCAATTAGATAATATCAAGGGATTTAATTAAAAAGACACATTACCCTAATGGCGGTTTTCAATCGCACTGTAGTTCGAGGACGTCTCGCAGTCCCTTGCGTTCTACTTACTTATCTAGAGATAGTCCTGTCATAACTCATCAATAGAACGGCCATGGTCAATCTGACGAACCATTAAAACATCCTATTGAAAGGCACTGAAGGTTATTCGATAAGGATTTGTGTCTATCTCCAGCCACCATTAACGGAGAACTGTCGATGGGTATCTAATTAATATTAAGATTATGTTTGATGGTCTTGAAAGTATTTTCGCGAAGTTTTCTTTAAATTATAAATAAGCAGTATACAGTTAAAAAACGCACGTGGTTGCAGCCACGGGTTGTGGGCCCAGATTGCCGAGGAGGATATTAGTTGTATTTAGTAACATTTATAAATGAAACTGTTAGCTGATTTGCCGGATACCCGGTATCCAGGCAATCTTGAAGCTGGACAGCTGGATACGAGGAATATTTAGATTTGTACATGTAGGAATTTGCAATGTGATACAAGATTCTTATTTTGAAACTTATTGATGTATGGTATGGTTAGCGATCCTTACTGTTAAGGCAGAAGTCGTGGATTTGATTCTCACTCTCACACGTTTATTTTCATTTATTGTCTGGGTGTATGTTTATCTATAACCTATAATCTACATATTTTCGACTGCACGAATGGCGTAGTGGTTTAAGCGGTCGCCACGCCGCTTACTAACTACGCTTAGTGTTGAGGGTCCGATCCCTACAAGGGACGACACTTTGTGTGATCCACAAATGGACGTTCTGAGTCTGGGTGTTCTTTGTGTCCGTTTTATGTGTGTTTGTAGAGTCCTCCGCGACACAGGATATGTTCCTAATTTGTGTTAGAGTAACGATCTATTCAATCTTAGATCACAACCTGCATGGCCGACAGATATTACGATCATAAATATTTTTTTAATAATACCATACTATACAATACTAGCTGACCCTGCAAAGGTTGTTTTGCTATTTACATTATTTAATTATTTTTTTTAATTTCTTAAAATCCGTTTTCAGCTGACCTCTACTCGGTGAAAAGAATATTCCTACCAAATTTCAAGTCTTTAGCTCTAATGGTTCCAGAGATATCGTGATGAGTGACTATGTATCTCTTATATATAATATAGATTATCACAGATAGACCTATACAATCCACAACAACTTACAAAAAACAAATCTATGAGAAAATACGCCAAAAAAAAAAAAAAAAAAAAAAAAAAAAAAAATATATATATATATATATATTATAAATGACAATGGCAGGCATGTATGGGACTTGTGTACCGCTTTGCGTATCTCATGGTAGGGATTATTGTTGTATTTATTGGGCAAGTAAAATCATCAGGAATGACAGTTTTAATTACCAGACTTTTAGAACTAACTACAAACTGAAATAACTTTTGCGTTCGAAAGTTATTTCAGTTGGTACAGTACTGAAGTCGATACCAATGACTGTTACAAATGAGTTGTCATTGCTGCCAACAAGTTAACCTAGATATGTTTTGCAATCATTCGTTTATGATTTTCGTTTATGATTTGAATGTTCACGAGTAATCTTATCGATTTGAATAAAAGTTATTAGTATTTTTCCTTAAATTAATTCCTTTAAAGTAATCACTCTTTTATTATTTCGTCTAATCTTTTCAGTCAACATTACTCATAAAGAAGTGTTTGTTTTTAATTACTAAATACACTAGTGAGATCATTTATTAATCTCGATTTAAACATATCGCTTTTTATGTAATTTATATTTTATGCTTGGCAAGTTTAGAAAACGTAGGAATGCGTTTTGTTAACAACACTTAAATGTAAGTAATAGCAGTTGTAACAATTCTTTGAGATGAATTTATTTACTTTTGGTAAAGTTCTACAAATATGATAATTACATGAAAATAGTTAGGATGATTCACTTTACGAGCGGTACAAATCTCATAACCATCCGTCATATATTACTAGGGGTACAGGATGTGTTCCCCGGCTATTAGTACCCGAGACGGAGTGCGGTTTTAGTCGGTTCGAGTCCGACATGCCACGGACAGGTGGTATCCGAGGGGATTTCAGCACGGAAAAAAAAAAGGGGTACAGGATGTGCCGTTCTCCTTTGAAAGTGAATTGGCTTATTTATTACGCTTTCACGCCTCAAACAATAAATCGGTTTTAAAAATTCTTCCACAATGGAAAGCTACATTATCAGCGAGTAACATAGGCTACTTTTTACCGTGATAACCGACACACGCGCGGGTGGAGCCGTAGACAAAAGCTGGTACAGTATTGGTCGATAACTGGTTTGGCAGTGCCCTGAGGTTTTAATGGGGGAGAAGAAGGGGGTTATTGTCAACCCTTTCGCGTCGATTATTGTTCCGTCGCCGTCGATAACTGGATTATCAAAGTCTTTATCGATGCGATCGACGGAACATAGTTGTTGTTCTACGGTGTGAAGCCACGAAATCGTAGTTTGTTTTTTTTATAACATTGAGCGTAAACTTGTCACCTGATGGTAAGTAGTTAGTGAAGCCCGCGGACATCTGCCACTCAAGAGGCACGATTGGGTTGTTCTCCTTAGAGGCTGTTGTAGGTACGCTCTTTTCTCTTAATAACAACAATTATCGAATCCATCCGATTACAAGAGCAGAGTGGTACACCGTGTAGTTTTAGTCGGTCTGATTCCGACACACACCACGCCGCGGTGGGGTGACCGCCCGAGGGGTTTCCCATACGTAAAAAAAAGGTACGCTCTTTTCTGGAACGTTTGCATTTTATAAATGCGAAAGTGTGTCTGTCTGTCTGTCTGTTACCTCTTCACACTTAAACCGCTGCACCGATTTAGATGAAATGTCATATAGAGATAGTTTGAATCCCGGGAAAGAACATAGGCTAGTTTTTCATCCCAGAAATTATACTTTAAGGAGGTGAAAAGGGGGGGGTGGATGTTTGTATGGGGCATCAATAACCGCTTAACCGATTTAGATGAAATTTGGTATGGAGACAGTTTGACTTGTGGGAAAGGATATAGAATAGTTTTAATTCCCAAAATCATCCCTTAGGGGTGTAAAAGAGAGAGGAAATTTGTAAAGGGAATCAATAAAAAAAGGCCTATAAGAGTTATATCATTTAATTTTTCGTTAGAAATAAAGAATGGTTATGCATTTTTGACCCAATTGGCCTTAAGATGTTAAGATCTTTCCACTTGTTTCTTCTCTATCTTTAAGTGCTCTTTGGTTTCTTAATGAAAAAGAAATGCATGAATTTTAAAAAGAATACTTACCTCGTTGGGTAGGAAATAATCAGTCAGGCGGATTCCAACTACTGCCGATTACCACAATCCGCCAATGTAATGTCCACAAGCCAGACATTACAAAGTCAAAGTGATTTCTGGTGGAAATTAAAGATTTGCTAACGAGCCACCATCTTCCATTTACATTTTATAATAAGACGATGTTATGTTCTATTATTACGGGCAGGAAACATTTTGCAAAAGTGTTTAGACTACGTATTTAAATTAGAGAGGAGCTCGGTATCAAGTGTCGCGAGACTTGCTGTTGCTTGCCTGAATTATTAACAACCAGCCATTTTATAACGAGTTGGAGTTTGCGATATAAAACACCGACACTTTGGAGGTTCAAACTTGTAAGTAGATAATTAATTAACGATTTATTTAACAAATATTTGTATCAAGTTTCTCATAAACAAACGGCGAATAATTTCAATTTTTTTGACCGACTCTTTGAAGGAAGAAAAATACTAATTTGTCAATGAAACAGATGGGTTTTCTAGCGGTGTTTCGTTCCATTATCAAGTATTGTTTGAAAGGACCCTTATTTTGTTAGTAATTATTATACAATTTTTATAAGAAAACTAACAGAAAGAAGATGAAAATGAACAGGGGTTTCATACAACTACACTTCGCACTTTGTATTATGGAGAATGCTTCGCCAGTTGCTTCTTTCTGACGGTTAACGTGACAAAAATTTTATCCCCATCCAATGGACAATTAGCACTCCACCTAGGGGTGGATCCACGTTTTAAAGCATCATTATTGAGTGGTCAGGACTCACGCCTATCTCCAGTTTGACATCCTTGAAATAATGTGAACTAGACCTAGCAAATTTACAAATGGAATATAAGATCATCATGTTACCTTCTGACGACCGTTGTTATAATGGTCTGTGTAACGAACTGCTATTCTAAAGGTAGCGGGTTCAATTCCCGCTCTAGTCGAACATTTGTGTATAAAAATTTAAAGTTTGATTTGGTCTGGGTGTTTCTATGTACAATATGTATCTATATACGAGTATTTACAAAAAAAACTATTTATGTATTTATATCAGTTGTCCAGAACCCATAGTACAAGCTCTGATTTTTGTTTGGGACTAGATTAGTATGCATGTGGCGTTGGCGTTGTATGCATGTGGTAGAATATTATTATTACCTTCGTCATATTTACGGGTCTCGAGTACTTATGATAAAATCAGGATAAATTTGTTTTATTATGAAAGTATATAAGATTACTGTTTAACGGCGTATATGGCAAGTGAATTACGCAATACCGTATCGTGGTAAGTTCCTTGAACACAATGTTTAATACGATCGTTAAAACAAATCGAAATGGAAAATATATTTGATAACCAAACGTTATCGTGTAAAAATAAACTATTTTCTGTGCTCTAGGCATGATAACGTGGTAACTTTAATACAAAGCCAAATAACAGTGGAATTCAAATCTATTTATTTTAATATGAACGGAACTCTGTATATATTTGTGATCTACTACATTTGTTTAGTATGTTGTACGCCAGCTAATATCACGGACCGTAATTTAACAATAAAGCACTTAGAAAACAAAGAAAGACATGTTTTAAGGAAAATCAATGTAGCCATAGATGATGCAATCAACTACTTGAAACAAAGCAACGACAGCGATGCTGTTGAAGGTTCCCTGTACATGGGTTACTTAAAGGAACAGCTCAAAGACTTACAAGGAGGCGACAATGAGGCGGGAGTCACTGCTGCTATGTCTGCTGCTGATAATATGACTATGAACGATATTATTCAGCAAGGTACTGATGACACTACTCAAGCCTTTAATTCAAGTGGAAGGAGAAAATTAAGTATTTTATTTAATCGCAAAGATGAAGTTTTAAAACAATCCATCCTAAATTTAGCGAAAAGTAAAGTTAAAGCCCAAGGTAAAATAAGTAAATTTGGCGACATAGAGGTGCCTAAGAAGGTACTAGATAAATTAAAAAATAAGCAAGAAATAGAAAAGAAGTTAGCCATATGGTTGGCTCAGAAGGAAAAGGAACGAGAATTAATAAGACAATATAAATCGAAAAGCAAAGTGAGAGAGCTAACGAAAGAAAAGTGTCCAGATTATGGTGCCAAACACAAGTACACAAAATATCCATGTTGCAGGAAATGTTGTAAAAGTTCATACCTAGGTTGTTTCAAATAAAATAAAAAATATTTATCATAACCCGATCGTAACGCGTCTGCATGTCTTTCTGTCTGTAGCTTCGAGAGTGATAAGCTCCAAAAGTATCAAACAGATTATCATACGGCTTTCGCCGTATTATTTATTAACTTAGAGAAATCTAAGTTAATAAATAATACGGCGAAAGCCGTATGATAATCTGTTTGATACTTTTATTAACTTATTATTTATTAACTTAGAGAAATCTAAGTTAATAAATAATACGGCGAAAGCCGTATGATAATCTGTTTGATACTTTTATTAACTTATTATTTATTAACTTAGAGAAATCTAAGTTAATAAATAATACCTCGGTGCGTTTTATTCACCGCAGTTTCATCTCAAACTGAGACTGTGCTATGGTAACCAGACTGCTGATAAAAATACTTATATATTACTAAACACGTAGGTATTTTAGATAAATTAGACCCAGACAAATGTTCGTACTCATCACACATTTTTTGTCTTGGGTGAGAATCTAAACTTCGACCCCTCCCTTAGCTGTCAGGATTACCAACCACCAGACTAATATACCGACTGGTACCGACTGGTGGTAGTTTATTTAGTGATTCACGTTTATATACTATTTTATAGTTTTGTGTAAGTTTGATAATCCATAGGTATATATTTGTAATAGTTATTCATCTTTCCGCCAATGTATTCTGCTGTCAAAACGTATTATTAGTCTTGATAAGACGTTACTTAAGTCTTTTCTACTTTAATTCGATGTATTCATCTAATTACGAGCCTTAGCTCTCTAGGGTTCGTTATTAGATGAAAACATCTAATTAATCGCAATGAACTATCAGAACTGTCACAACTATCAGCTCAATGATACTTGATTATAGTATTCGCTATACATTCGTCGGGTTTGTTTGTCCTATCATAGCACTAGAATGTTTCTATGACGCATTACAATTTTCTAGCCCTTTTCCAGGTTTATTTAAGATCGGTGCGATCTGTAATTTTGTAAACCTACTGTTTGTTGTTTTTCACTGAGTTACGTTACCGAAGGTCAAATCCTCGCCCCGCCAACTAATTGTGGGGGGAGTTAGGGGGGAGGGGGCGAATAACCAAAGGGTGACAACTCATTTGTATCTCTTGTTAGTTACCATCAGGTGACCCATCTGCGGGAAGCCGTAAAGCGATCTAAGTGGTATGCAATAGGAGCTGATGCTGATGATCAATCTGCTCGTTTGCCCTCCACATAACTGTAAGACGCAATACTGCAAGTCTGGGATGTGCAACGAGACTAAGACCTGCAGTTGTCGTATGTTTGCCCTGTGGGATTTTAAGTTACAGCAGTATGGTCTGGTTTTGAAATGATATCAAATCTCGTATTTACCCGACTAAGTAATATTGCACAGTCAACATTTTTTATAATGGTAGACACCAAATTGACGCCCTATGCACATTTTTAGTTATTATTTAGATTTTATGTAACACTTGACATAGATTGACTCGTCAATGCTTGGTACAGTCGGCCGCTAAATCCACATATTTCTCAACACTGTTTTAGCAGCACTTCAAAAATCCAAACCCGAGAAATATCTGTTATCTTGGCTTTAGCTCTGCCGTCCCTTTAAGGCTTGATCGTGAGCGTACATACAAATACCTTCCGCGTATCTGTCTGCCAATACGTTCAAAAACCCGAGATAACGCCTGGGACGCAGTATTGAGAGAAACCGAGCTCCGCATAGATAAGGGATACATTTTTTTTACAAAAAAGTCATGGCACGAAATTGCGGATGAAAATTGAACCCTTAAGCTTTGTTAGAAAATCTGATTGCTGTGAATGTGTGAGTGTAATAATTTGGATAATAATTGGGCAAAATTTAGGGTAATTGTGTTGAGGTAACTTACAGGTTAAATGGAATGGTTTGAGGTACTCTAGAGAGCAAATGTATTGTGTATTATTCAGTTGGACTATTTTTTATCGCTCAAAATGATTCGACACTGTATGAGATGCAATGTGCTATTTTTAAGTATTACTTATTTTGAGGTGCTGTTAAATTTGGAAAATGTCGTAACGCTCGAAGCCATATAAACTATTTAATATTGAATTGATTGCCATTTATTTGTTAAGTAAATTTGACTCTCACTTTGATTAAAATTGACTGACTTCTGAGTCAGAGGTTGTGGGTTCGATTCCCACCCCAGACAAATAATTGTGTGACGAACATGATCATTTGTGGTGTAACTTATCTACAATATATAAATATATATTATTAAATAAACCGTCAAATCGTTTTTCTTTAAAAAGGTCATAGGAGAAGTATCTTATTGTCAAAACTGGTACAGTCAGTAACATAATTCTTGTGCATAAAAAATGACATAAAAAGGATTAGGTTTTAATAAAAAATTGGTTCAAGTTTTACATTGCGAACAAATAAATCTATGTTAATGTACTATTAGCTATTGTATCTTAAAGTAAATACATAAATCTGTATACGCTACGACTATAATCCGTCAGTAAATAATTGATTAACACAATAAAAATGGCGGACAATAGACAGCGGATGCGCTTGGCTGAGCCACAGATAAGATAGCAGTGTGGGTTGCTACGCATTTGTGTTGGAAAATGGATGAATGGATCAGGTCGTTTGATTGTAGACGTTACTTCAGTTTGGGAACATTTTAAAAAGTAGGTATTACTGTTAGCACTGCTCCGAAGGGATAAATTTTTGTTTTCCGAAAAAAAATTACGTATCGAATGATAAATGAATTCGATTCATCATCATCATCAGCCTTTCATAGTCTCTTTATGCTACCTATTATAAAACTTTTCTCAGATTCTTCTATCTCTATATGTGTGTGTATGAATGTGTTTGTATATTTATCTATATCTGTATGTATCAGTAATATTATGAGCAGTACACTACTAAATTCATCCAAAGGTTGTCTGGTAGAGATCGTTATTAACAATATGATTGCATTGTACCTAGCAGTAGCATTAAATATATCATCATCATATAATATGATTTGAAATGGTCTATGGTATTACAGTAACGAATATTTTATCTTTCTTTTTTCTATGTCTAAAGTACTGATACTGGAAAATTTTCATTCCCTATCCCATGCATAGGAAACGATCTTTTTTTTCAAATTAAAATGTCAGCTGCTACTTCAAATATTTAACGTTAATTTAATTTTTCATAAACTTCACAAAATCAAGCTCATTTATTGTCACGAAAACAGAAACGCGGGACAGGTCTTAGTGCGATTATTAAAGCTTACTCGACTTTACTGGTATTACTTCAGTATTACCGGAATTACTAAGTATTACTTTACCGTAACGTCGAAATTCTGAAAGATAATTTATTTGTTCTAAACGGTATTTATTGGAGAGCTTCCTTGTTGTGGTGTTGAGGTCATCTGCCAATTTTCAAAAAGGTATTTTAGCTATTGACAGCTTTCAGTATAGTTTTGTTCATAGTAGGTAGGTTCACAGGTCTGAATAATTTTTGTAACTATACTTTTTTAAATTTTAGGTCTAATTTGAAACCGGAACATCAGTCGACAGTAATTTTTTTCGTTAGTTTTAATTTTTTATTCATACATCTCTGTCGACTGCTTCGAAGTTGATTTTCTGTTTTCGTTCGTAAATTTCATTTGGAAAGCATTGTATTGCAGTTTTGTGAGGCTTTTGTGTTTTCTCGCATATTAATCAGTTTCTAAGAACGCCTGAAATCATTAGGGCAGATGAAATGAGAAGAAATGGTCAATCCTACAAATCGATTGCTACAAGACTTCGTTGATCGTTATCAACGAATCATCGCAGCATTGTCAATTTTTCTCTAATGAGAAGGAGAGGACAAGGCAAGAAAAGGCCGTAGGAAGGAATGACCGTTTTCTATAACTTCAAGTTCGTCGGAACACAAAAGTAATGGCGGCGCAGGCCCGAAATTTATTGGAGGAGGTTCGAGGAGTAAGAGTGAGTGAGCGGACAAATCGCAGGAGATTCAAAGAAGTCAGTATAGGCTCATTTGTACCCGCTAAAACACCAAAACTTGAGAGACACCATCACACAACCCGACTATACTTTGCTCGTGAACAACGTCATTGGGACTTCGATTAGTGGCGTCAGGTTCTCTTCACTGATGAATGCAGAATTCTGTTAAATCAGATTGATGGAAGGCATCGCGTATGGAGACGTAAAGGAGAGCGTTATATCCAGTCTAATTTTGAAAATACGGTGGCATATGGTTGCGGCTTAAATATGGTTTGAGGAGAGATATGTTTAGGGGCTCGCACGGAGTTGGTGGTAGTCGACGTCGGGAATCTGACTGCTGATCGGTATATCAGGGAGATTTTAGAAGAACATGTTGTGCCATTTGCCCTTTATTGGCAACGACTTCGTTATAATGCAGGATAATGCTCGGGCTCACAGTGCTCGCTCAGTACAGGCATACCTAAACCATGTTGGTGTAACGGTGATGGAGTGGCCAGCACGGTCCCCGGATATGAATCCAACTGAACACGTTTTGGACTTCCTAAAGAGGACTGGTCAACAATCTGGTGGAAACGCATTACTTAAAGGATGGCAGAGGTTGTACCAAAAAATCATTGATTACATCATCCGCAGCATGCCCAGACGAATAGAAACCATAATCAAAAAAGGGGGGAAATAAACATTCATTTAATTAATTGTAAACGTCACAAAATCAAAAATTTTTAACTTTTTCTCTGTCATTACGAAAGGTATTAAAAATGCATTTTGTGTTTTTTCATTAAACTTTAAGAATGGTGTTGCAAATTAATGTCAAAACATGTTAATTTAATTGTTGTTTCATGTTTAATTATTATCTGTTTAAAAAATATATTTTTTTGTGTTCCACTAATTCTGCTGGCATGTGTATTTCGGATATCTGACACACAACACAGCTTCAAACTAAGTAGAGGAAAGCTAGATTGACTGATAGAATACTTATACACTCTTTTTCTGTAAATACATACATATTCATACAAATGTATCTGTCCGT